GGAATCTGCACGAGGTGTGCGATGAGTTGGACTTGAACAAGGACCTCGAAATTTTCTTGATGTTCTCTTCTGTCACAGCCATCCTGGGTAACTTTGGGCAGGCCAACTATGCGGCGGCCAACTCCTGCCTTGACTCCTTTGCATCGTGGCGCCGATCCATAGGATTGTGTGGACAGAGTATCCAGTGGGGTCCATGGGTAGAACAAGGTATGGCGGCTGGGCTTAAACCCCTCTTGGAGAAAGCAGGTATGAGGGGAATCACTGACGACCTCGGCATCAGGGTCCTCCAGGACGTGATGCGAAGTGGTGATCGTTACGGGGTTTTGATGTGCCAGTCCTTCAGATGGCGTAACTTCCTCATGAGGTGAGTCCGCCTTGTAGTATTCCTGCTTATGAGTGTGGGCTGTAGTGGGTGGACTACTCAGCTATTTGGTCCTTACATTTGTTTTGTGCTGCCGTCCTCAGGTACGACAGGGTGCCCGCGTTGCTCAAAAACGCCACTCGTGACTTCCAGGTGACTCCCACTTCGCTTCCGATTTTAAGTTCAATGAATTCTCAGGATAGGCATGCATTCGTCGAGAAGAAGGTGATCGAACTTGTCATGACTTCTCTGGGGCTAACTACGCCTCCGGCGATGGATCAGCCTCTGCAGGAATTGGGTATCGACTCTATTGGAGCGGTGGAACTTCGAAATTCTCTGTCGAGCACTCTCGGGATCAAACTTCCAGCCACTGCTATGTTTGACTACCCAACTGTGGGAGCGATGATCGGCTACGTCAACAAAACCATAGCTGAGCAGTTTTCAGGCCATCATCCCGCTGGATTGTCCAGCGGCTTTGGAAAGGTGTCAAAAACAGAAAGGAGAGTGGGCACAATTGCAATTGTTGGAGCGGCGTGCCACATGCCAGGTGGTTCGACGACTACAGCGCGTTTTTGGGAAATGCTGCAGTCAGGAACTGACTGCATGAATGAAATTCCACTTGATAGGTGGAACATGTTTGCCTTTTACAATCGTGATCCTGACCATCCAGACACGACCTATGCAAAGCTTGGTGCTATGGTTGAGCAGCCTTTCCACTTCGACAATTCGCTATTTAACATTAGCAATATTGAAGCGCAAGTGATGGATCCTCAGCAGCGTCTCATGATGGAAGTTGCGTATGATGCTGTTTGGTCTGCTGGCTTCGAGAAGACGGACTTGGTTGACCAGGAAATTGGTTGCTTTGTCGGTTGCTGTAACTCCGATTGGCACATGCTTGAACTCCCGTCTGGCTCCTTCACAGGTGTGTCATGTAGAGCTCCAGCCTCTGAAAAGAGGAACGGTAATAGCACCTAGCCGGACCTCACAGCGCCTAGCCATGCAGCCTCCGTTATTGTCCGCAAAGTGGGGACCCCTCTACACTTGGTAGTTCCAGGCAGGTAAGTCCATTAATTTGTCAACAGAGTGCTTGTTCTTGGCCCGAACAGGAACTGGTGGAGCACCTTCAATAATCTCGAACAGAGTTTCTTACGTCTTTGGCCTGAAGGGACCCTCACTAACAGTTGACACAGCGTGCTCTTCGTCCCTCGTGGCCCTGGACAGCGCTGCTACGAAAATCTCTGAAGGCTGCTGCACAGGCGCTCTGGTTGGAGGCGTCAACATAATGTTGTCTCCCAACTTATTCATTTGCTTTGCTAAGGCCCGTATGATTTCTCCAGACTGTCGTTGCCGCTCATTCGACCAGAGAGCAAATGGCTATGCACGAGGTGAGGGCGTTGGCATGGTCTTCTTGCGCCCTCTCGAAGACGCCTTGAAGGATGGAAACCCAGTGTTTGCAACCCTCAGAGGTTCAGCTGTGAACCATGGAGGGAGAAGTGCAAGTCTTACTGCGCCTAGCGGACCTGCCCAGCAAGCTGTCATACTCGCATGCCTGGGACAAGCAGGGGTTCAGCCCCACGAAGTGACAATCCTGGAGGCCCACGGAACAGGTCAGGAACCAAGGCTTTCACACTCAAATGTGCCTTTTAAAGGCTTGCCCGTCTGCGCAGATATGCGGAACGTAGGGGGGAAATAATTTTTCTAACAGCGACAGTTACATTCCGTGTGCGACTTTGTTTAGGCACCCCTCTTGGAGATCCAATAGAGATGGGCGCCGTCCGTGCAGTCTACGGGATGGGAAGGACTGCTGAAACACCGCTGTTTATTGGAGCCCTCAAGAGCAATATTGGGCACTTGGAGGGTGCTGCAGGCATAGCAGGTCTGATAAAGCTTATGCTGTGCCTTCGGCACCGCGAGATCCCTCAAAATCTTCACTTTGAGAAGATCAATTCATATATTGAGCTAGATGACATGCCGGTGGTTTTCCCCAAGTCGTCGATGGGTCTCACGGGAAGCACAAAGCTGCTTGGCGCTGTGAGCTCTTTCGGCTTCGGCGGTGCAAATGCTCACGCAGTGCTTGAGGAGTATGTTCAGCTGGAGACGACTGCAAGGCGGAGAGAGCCCATCGGGTGGTGCCGCAAAAGCTTCAATACTCGCCAGGTTCTGCACCCTCATGTCGCTCGGGTTCAAGAAACGGATGGCGGTGACATCGTCTACGAAGGAGAAGTCAGGAGGGAACACTACGAAATCATGGCACAACATAAACTTCATGAACGCCCTGTGATGCCGGGAGCCTTGTACTTGGAAACTATGGCTGCCGCTGTCAGCTGCAAGCGCTCCAAACCGTCAGGTTGCATCTGCCCAGTTGAGGTAGACCACTCTAAGATCGTAGTGCTGGAGGAGGTAGAATTCCAGCGTCCTATGCTCCTGGAAAAGCCAGTCACAGACGGCTTGCATGACACGCAGCGGCTCTTCGTTAATGTAGCCCCAGGAGGCCAAGTAACTCTTTCAAGCTCTAGAGGGGAAGACGATGAAACATTTGTCCATGTGTCGTGCCGTTATATCAAAGAAGAGCAACAAGAGAGAGAAACAAGTTCACCTGAGGAGCTACTAAAAATTTTTGAAACGGACAAAAACCGCCAGGCTGTGGATGTGGAACAAATGTATCAACGTATTAAAGACAATGGGCTAGTCCTCGGTCCGAAATTCCGCGTAGTCAAGGCCATCGAGTGTGGGCCTTCGAGTGCAAAATTGCGCCTCGAGTTACCCGGCCCCATTACCACGGGTGAAACTGGCTACCGTCTCCATCCTTGTGTTCTTGATGGGACTTTCCAGACAGTGGGAGCATTGGTGATGTCTCATGACCTTGCAGTGGCAAAGAGGGATTCGCTCCAGCCTCGTCCTTTCCGGCTTATGATTCCCTTCATGGTCCAGCGAGTAGCCATGGGATCTATGAACGGTGTGCATAAAGCTCTCCTTGCTCATGTCGCTCTTGTGAAGCGTGACGCCAGTCAAGCTGTGATGGACATTGAAATTATGACTGAAGAGGGAGAATGGATTGCTACTATTACCCGCTTGACAATGAGGGCGGTGGACCCCGTCCCAGCAGCTGAAGTTCCTCGGGAGTTGCTATGGCGGTCACAGTGGCAGAAATTTAGAACGCTCCCCGATATTCCAGAGGATGCCAGATTTGAGGTTTTCTTGATTGACTTCCGGGAGAAAAAAGACGGAACCTTCACTCACCTTGAAGAGATCATGAAACCCTGTAAATGCACCCTTGTGAGCAGTCCGAGTGTGGAAGAACTTATGCCAATGCTCGTCAACGCACGGGAGGGTTCTAAGGAGCTTCCCAAGCTGGTTGTAGTTGCGGCAACTACGGATGCAGCAAGTGATACTTCCGTTGTCGTTGGTCTTACAGTCCTCTGTAGGGCAGCCCGTCGGGCCATAATGACTGACAAGGCGGCTGTGCTTAGACCCATTTGGGTCGTAACCAGGGGCCTGTTCACCACAGAAGGACCCCGCGGAGGCTGTTCCCAAGCAGGAGTTTGGGGGTTTGCACGCGCTGTGCGCTTAGAAACGGCAGCGCAATTGGGTCGGCTGATCCCACTCGGATGCGTGGATATCGCCGACACAGCCAGTTTACCTCAGACCTTGCACGCATTAGCTACACTTCAAGAAACGCAACCGTACGAGCCGGAGCTGATTGTGTGCACAAAACTTGCTCAAGGAATGGCTGAAGAGGATGCACCCCTTGACAACGGGAGTGAAACACAAGCAGAGCCACAACCCGAAGAGCCCTCTATTTTTGTTCACCGGCTTGCAAAGTGGAAGAAGGGAGTTCGAGGACCTGTTGAACTTCATCTCCCTGACAGAGGAGCTATAGCTAGCCTTGTTCTTCGCGCACAAGCAGTCAGCCACAGGCGACAACCGAAAGGAAACATGGTCGAGGTCAGAGTGCGTGCCATTGGACTGAATTTCCGCGATGTCCTCAACGTAATGGGACTTTACCCTGGGGATCCAGGTCCACCAGGATCTGACTGCGCAGGGACAGTTGTCGCAGTGGGTCCAGAGGTAAAGCGCTTGAAACTCGGTGACACCGTATTCGGCATTGTCCCTGGATGCCTAAGGACTTTTGCAGTGACGAGCGAAGATTTACTGTGGAAGCTGCCCGAAGGCTTGTCCTTTGCTGAAGGTGCTACACTTCCAGTTGTGGCAACAACTGTTCAGCATGCACTCGGAGACCTTGCCAGAGTCAAGGCAGGCGACAAGGTTCTGATTCATGCCGTTTCGGGAGGAGTCGGCCTCGTGGCCATACAGCACTGCAAGCGGGTCGGGGCCATTGTCTATGGGACATGCGGAAGTGAAGCTAAGACCAAGTATGTGAAAGATCTGGGTGTGCAGTTCGTGACGTCCAGCCGAAAACCCGACATCTTTGTCAAAGATATGCAGAAATATCTGGGAAAGAATGGTAAAGTTGACGTAGTCCTAAATTCTTTACTCGACCCCTTTATATCGGCTTCACTTTCGTTCCTATCAGAAAACGGTATTTTTATTGAGCTGGGAAAAAGAGGTATTTGGACTCATGAACAAATGAAAGCGGCACGGCCCGATGTCCAATACGAGACTGTCGCTGTGGATCTTATGATTGAAGACAATCCCCGCTGGTTTGCGCTTCAACTGCAACGTATGACTCAACGACTGGAATCCGGAGACCTAAGTCCTATTCCAGCAACGGTTTTCGACATGACCGACCAGCAAGAAGGTGTTGGCGCGTTCCGTTTCCTTCAAAAGGCACAGCATGTCGGCAAGGTGGTCCTCACGGTCCCCAGTGCTCTTTCGCCAAAGCTACATTCGGCCCTTTTGCAAAAATCCTATGTAATCACAGGTGGCCATGGAGCCCTTGGACTCGTCGTGTGCAAGATGCTTGTGGAGGAAGGTGCACGCCACATTGCACTACTTTCGCGTTCTGGGGAGCCGTCAGCGGAGCTCAAGGACGGCGAGATTTGGCAATACCTGTTGAGCACACCACCTAACATCCATATCAAGAACATAAAGTGCAACATAAGCAAGAAGGACGACGTTCTAAGAGCNGGTTTACGGTCCGAAGGTGGTGGGTGCTTGGAATCTGCACGAGGTGTGCGACGAGTTGGACTTGAACAAGAAACTTGAAGTTTTCTTGATGTTCTCTTCAGTTGCTGCCCTTTTGGGAAACTTCGGGCAGGCGAACTATGCCGCAGCCAATGCCTGTCTCGACTCACTCGCTGCATGGCGACGGTCTATAGGACTGTGTGGACAGAGCATCCAGTGGGGACCATGGATCGAGCAGGGAATGGCAGCTGGGTTGAGGCAGGAGGTGGAAAAGCTTGGGCTGCGCGGAATTACTAACGATATCGGCGTGCGTGTCCTTGTTGACTGCCTACGTGGAGGCAACATGCCGGTACCAGTGCTCTGCCAAGCGTTTAGATGGAAGAAATACAGTGAACAGTTCGATACGATGCCGCGCTTCTTCGAATACGTGGAGCTGGACGTCACAACGCCAGCAGCACTCCGTCAACTGTACAGTTCAATGACCCCGGAGCAGCTGAAGGAGCATGTTACGAAGGTAGTTATTGACACCGCTAGGCAGGTCCTGGGGGCCGCAGAAGTTCCTCCGCTTGATTCCCCTCTGCAGGAGTTGGGTATCGACTCTTTGGGTGCAGTAGAGCTACGCAACGGGCTTGCCCAAAGACTGGGAGTCAAGCTCTCGGCAACGACCCTCTTCGACTACCCTACTATAGGGGCAATAATCAACTACATTCAAAACCAAATATCTGGAAGTATTTCTCCAGGAGCAACAGATATCTCGACATCTGCAGTCTCTGCCTTAGGGCACATTCAGGGACTCGCTATCATAGGCGCATCTTGCAGACTTCCAGGAAACAGCGATAATCCTGAGTTATTGTGGGAGATGCTCATAAGGTATGAAAGCACTGGTTCAGTACACAGGCGCGCGAGCAACTATGGGAGCCTAGCACTTATATTTCCAGCGAACACCTAGCTATCGCGTTGCTTGGGACACTGCGCTTGATTTCCTAGTTTGGTTTGCTTGCAGGGCAAAGGACTGCGTCTCCGAGATTCCGTTGACTCGATTCGATGTAGATCTATTCTATGACGCGGAAATAGATGCGAAGGGGAAGATGTATGTCCGCAAGGCGGCGTTTATGGATAACGCCGAAATGTTTGACAACGCATTTTTCAACCTTTCTGCAGCGGAGGTTAACTACATGGACCCCCAGCAGCGCATGGCGCTGGAAGTGGCATACGATGCATTTTATTCAGCAGGTTACTCTCGCGAAACACTTGTGGGAAAGTCATTCGGCGTATGGATTGGTTGTTGCAACTCGGACTGGCACTTTCTGGAGCAGCAGTCGGATCCTTTTAAAAGCAGCAGTTATTCAGGGCCTGGCGGGTCTGGCTGTCTGGTTTCAAACCGCGTCTCTTACGTGTTCGGGATCAACGGACCTAGCATGACGATTGACACTGCGTGCTCCTCTTCACTGGTGGCAATGGATTCCGCATTTCAAGGAATCCGGCTCGGCTACTGCAGTGGGGCATTGGTGGCTGGAATCAACTTGATGCTCTCCCCACAGCTATTCCTTGCATTCTGCAAGGCACGCATGCTCTCACCAGAGTGCCGTTGTGCTACATTTGATGCAGCCGCTAATGGTTATGTACGTGGAGAAGGTGCAGGAGCAGTGGTTCTTAGACCACTACAGGACGCTGAGGCCCAAGGACAAAACGTGTTAGCTGTGCTGAAAGGAACAGCTGTTAGTCACAATGGCCGTAGCGCTAGTCTGACGGCGCCGTATGGCCCTATGCAGCAGGAATGCATGAAACTTGCCCTTCGGCACGCAAACGTGAACCCAAAAGACGTTCGGTATATCGAGTCCCACGGTACAGGAACTTCTCTTGGAGACCCAATTGAGATGGGCGCTATCCGTGCCGTTTACGGAATAAATAGAAATGACAGCAATCCTCTGATAGTTGGCGCCCTCAAGTCTTATATTGGGCACTTGGAAGGTGGCGCCGGAATTGCAAATGTCTTGAAGGTTCTAGTCTGTCTTGCAAACCGTGCCGTACCTCCAAACCTGCATTACTCGACCCCAAATCCTTTCATGGATATCGAAGGATTTCCGCTCCTGTTACCGAATTCTGTTGTGCCGCTGGAGCCTGCGGTTAACAAGGCAAAAGTGCTTGCAGGGACTAGCTCTTTCGGTTTTGGAGGAGCAAATGCTCATGTCGTGCTCGAAGAATACATTAGAAAAGTGGGGAAGGCCGCCGTCACCCAGGGTGTGGGAAAGCGGAAAGTTGCATTTTTCTTCACAGGACAGGGCAGTCAGTATGAGAACATGGGAAAGGAACTGTATGAAAATGAGCCTGTTTTCCGGGAGGCGCTGGATGAATGCAATAGTATTCTAAAGGGAATGCTTCCAGTGCCGTTGATAGAGGCAATGTATCCAACGAAACAAACGCCCCGGGGCTCATCACTTCTGGAGCAAGCCATCTACGCTCAAACTGCAATATTTGCAGTGGAATATTCCCTTCTCTGCCTTGCAAGGAGCAAGGGTCTCGAGCCGGATGTTGTCTTGGGCCACAGCATCGGAGAGTATGCTGCAGCTGTTGCAGCGGGAATTATGGATTTGGAAGACGCCCTTCATCTAATGGTAGAGAGAGGGCGGATAATGCAGGAAATCGATCCTCGGGGAGGCGTTATGGTCGCATGTCGGTGCACACAAGAAGATGCACAGAAGGCAATTGAAAGTCTTGGCGAATCAGCAAAGACTGCGGAAGTGTCCGTCATCAATGGGCCTAGGAGCATTGTGCTAGCTGGTGAAGAGTCGCACGTTATGAAAGTCATTGATAAGCTAGGCCTTGGTGAACGGTATAAGAGACTCAATACTACGCATGCCTTCCACAGCAGCTTGGTTGCTGACGCAGTCAAGCCATTCAGCCAGGCACTTGTCGGCGTTAAGCTTAGAAAGCCAGCGATTACATTCGTTTCAACAGCATTGGGCACTAAAGTGACNCACTTGTCGGCGTTAAGCTTAGAAAGCCAGCGATTACATTCGTTTCAACAGCATTGGGCACTAAAGTGACAGATGAAGTGTGTACAATTGACTATTGGGCCCTACAAATTACGCGCTCCGTAAAATATACGCAAGGCCTCCGAGAAGTGGTGGGATCAGAAGTTTCAATAATTGTAGAGGTAGGCCCCATGCCAACTCTCATTACCATGGCTCAACAGTCCTTGAAGGCGTCTGAAGTTCTTTGCGTTTCGCTTCTTGATCCGAAGACTCCAGATATGCAACAGGTGTCCAATAGCGTCAACGCACTCTTATCGAAGGAAGAACGTCGCCATGAATGGAAACGGCAAGCATTCCCATGGTTCAAGCTCTCGACGCCTCTGGTCGCGAGTGTGCAAAGCGAAAGCGCCACTCAAGCCACCGCAACCACCATCTTGGATGCCCATGTGTTAGATCTCTTGCGAGATCACGTTGTCAGCCAAACTCCCATTATGCCGGGTGCGGGATTCTTGGAAATCATGAGCAGCGCAGCATTTATGCACTATGACGGCAAGATTCCAAGCACAGCGACAGTGCTTACGGACGTGGAATTCGATCGTCCAATGATGCTAGTTGATCCAGAGAGTGCGCAAAAAGGGCACGAGCCGAGC